GGGGTTTGGGGGTGGGTTTGTGGTGGGGTCAGGTGATTGCTGGTGATGTGTTGGGGTTGGTTTTCCGTGGGGTTTGGGGGTGGGGATTTCGGTGGTGTTGGGTTGTTGTTGGTGGGGATTTTCAGTATGGGTGGTTGGTGGTGGTGGGTAGTGGATTGCAAAGGGTTTGGGGGTAGGTTTATGGTGGGGTTAGGTGGTTGCTGGTGGTGGAATTAAGTGGTGTTGAGTGGTTGATTTTGGATAAAAAAACCAAACATTTTTTTTTTTTTGTTTTTATAATTTTTTAAATACAAATTACTATCAAACAGTGGGGTTGAAGAAGATGCAGTGGGTTGGAGAAGATGTGGTGGCAAAGTTTATTTAGATTTTAAGGAGGGCAAGGTGGTCTTTTTGCCACTACCGTTAACAGTGTTAGCTGTGCATTTTGGTCCAAAAACACAAAAGGGTTATGTGCTGATTTTTGAATCACAAGGAAGTGATGTGCAAAACTACCAAACCACAAGGGGGTAAACTGAATTTTGCCCTAAAAAATTTCTTATAACTTTATTTTCTTTCAAACAAAAGCATGAAATATTTTTAAAAATTTTTCATAAATTTTTCATTCTAACCAAATACACTCATAAAAATATATTTTTTATCATTTCATTTTCTTTTATTTCACTTTCTATTATTTTTTTTTTCTTTCTAACCAAATGTACCCTAAGGGGCATGCACTTGAAACAAGAAAAAGAGACATAATGGCACTAGCACAATAACTTAATATTAAAATAGATCATAGGAAAAACAAATTCTAGTAAATGGGGAAAATTTGTTATCATTAACCAAATTTTCAAGAGAAAATATAAGGAACAATGAAAATGAATCAAAAATAGAAATATATGAGTATTGAGAAAAAGAGACAGAATGGCACAATACCTTTGAAGATCTTTCCATTTGTGTATATCATTTTTTGTTAGCAAAAATTGTACTTATACCCCGTCCAACACTTGATATAATCTCCTATTGAAAGAAATCCAAATATATCTATAAAATATTACAGGGAAAAAATTGAATTATCTATGCATAAAAAATATAAAAACAATTAAGATTAATCTAAGTTTTATTTATTTTAATTTAATGGTACAAAATTAATTACAAAAATAAAATTTTAATTTACTATCAGACAACTCAACCAACACACTTCTCAATGTTAAACAATTTCATTACTTTTAATCCATGCTTTCCTTTCTCTCCTACAACTTTCTTATTTTTTTTCTCTTCACTTTAATTTTAAATTGGTTAATTTAAAAAAATTATTATTTTAAATATAAATATTACACAACCAATACTCAAAATTTTATAAAAATATAGTCTGATGGGGATGAAAAGAATGTAATAGAGGATAATGAATGAGTAAAAAGGCATTCCCCCGGTCAAAATTCTAAACAAGGCCTAAACTTTAGCTCAATGGTACTTAATGGCCCAAAGCTACGCCTAGGAAAAATATTAATTATACTAATTATAACAGTAATACCTCACCAATAATATGTAAACAAATAAAAAAATAGATCATATACAAGCTGATAATTACATGTTTATGTAAACTAATAACTATTAACTCTTATTTCATGTAAGTTAATAATTACTCAAGTAAAATTTATTTTATTCATTTAAAATTTCAGTAATATTATGGTTACCAAGTTTCTTACTTAGTTTTCAATTGAGGGTGACTAGTGACAATTTGGGGCCTAAAACAACAATTATAAAACCGGCATATTTTTTTTAAAAGAAATTATATTTTATTTAAAATTTATTTTTCTCATTTTTTGAAATATTCTCCAAGCTTAAAATGGTAATGTTAATAGAGAATTATAGACTTCATAGATTTTGTGGTGAATAAAAATAACAAATAAATAAACAAAGGCAGACGATCAAAATAAGATAAAAAATAAAAACAAAAATAGATCAGTTTTTCATTATTAGCTATAGAGAGAGAGAGAATGAGCAGTTGGAAAAAAAATGTTGAAAAATTCACTTTTACCATTACTTTTTTTTTATTTATTTTAAATTTTTTAATGATTTTTTTGACATCATGGAATAGAGAAATAGCCTAAACTATTTAATTTAGGGTTTAATTGCTTTACACTAAGACTAACCCCGTTTTCAATTCTAAGTGATATGGCATAATTTTTATTATTAAATATTAATAAAATCTATTTATTATATAATAAAAATTATGTCCCATTATTTAGAGTGATAGAATTTTTTTGTCAACATAGAATTATTATTAAAATTTTATTATTAATTGATAATATCATATTATCAATTCTTTTGTCCCATTACATTGAATATTTTCTCCTATGGGTCTAGTGTCACAGTCCTATCCTCGTCATCAGGAAAGGTAAGTCCCAAGTTTGACTGAGTAAAAGTCATAGACAAACGCCTGCGATTCAAAACGGAGAGCACGTGCTGTGCACTCCGAAATTAATTCTCAGCCACGTATTCACAGTGGCCGGTGGAAACAAGCGCAACCTGCCACGTCAAAATCAAGTACACGTGGCAGATTCCGTGCCAAAAGATTCACTGCTTAGGCCGACTCTGAAGCAAACTGTAACCGTGAGCGCACCGAACCCGCCATGCTTTGACCCCTCGGGAGGAGAGAGAAAGAAAAAGGATTAAATAGAGTGTAATAGTGTCACAATATCATCATTATTATCTCATATCATTATATAAAAATAATATAATAAATAAATAAATCTTATATATTGTAATAACTCTTATCTAAAAAAATATATATTATAATAATTATCTTGTCATATCATTTATTAATCATTTAAATAAAGTTTATCATATTTATTTATAAATTTATTATTAAATAACAACATCACATAATGTGTTAATAATAAATTATTATTGTTACATCTAATATTTCCTTGAGATGAAAAGAAGGGACCTTTTTTTTATTTTATGGTAATTTTGTATTTATACCCATAATTCTGATTAAATTACAATTGCATAAAAAATGCAATTTAAATTGACTTTGGAAAAAAAAGGATAAAATTTCAATAACAATAGAGTTTGGAGAACAGAAAATATCAACAAAAAAAAAAAGAAGTAAGTTTTGAAATTTTATAATTAAGTTAAGATGATAATTCATTGGAAAAGACCTGCGGGATTGGGGCTTTCAAGTTGAAACCAATGCCAACACTGGCTGGGTTCCAAGCGTATTTAGATGTAGTAGGAGACCTGCTTGTTATAAAAGTATTAAAAACACAAACACACACACACAAACGCAAACACACGCATAGCAGCTGTCACATACGTTATATAATTCTCAGATTTTGTCTACATATATATATATATATATATACACTTCGCGGGCTTCTCCATTCTCTCTCTCTCCCCTAATAAATTGCGAATCATTAGAACTAAGTAGTGTCTCTGCGCGTTTGTCATCTTCCCCCTCCGTCCTCAGCTATATGATCTGGTCAATCAAGAAGAGCTCTCACGCAGGTAATTTACCTTCTTCTTATGTTGAAGAGAGAGAGAGAGAGAGATTCATCTTGTCCAACATAAAATTTTCATCTTCTTATGTTGAAACCATTCTTGTATTCTCGCATAACAAATCATGAGCAATCGATGAAAATTATGACATTCAGAATATTGAAGAGATATGGATACCGAAAGGCCTCCAAAATTCAAGCAAGCCTGTTCATAAATTTCTGGTTTCTTTTCAACTTTCAGCTTTTAGTCAGAATTTCGTTCGATTTTCTTATACACAATTGAATAAATGATTTCTTTTGGTTTAATTCCTCTGCTTTCATACATATTATTATCCTAGATCATATGAGAAATTCCTCTGATTTCGTATATATTGTAATCCAAGATCATATGAGTAATTCGATTCCATTCGATTCGATTTGAACTAGTTTTCGGCAGATTCAAATGTCAGTCGAAACCTCTCCCTCTCTCTCTCTCTCTCTCTCTCCCTCATGTAGTTCCTCTTATTGTGTTACCAGAGGAAATATGTTTATATATTTGTGCCTACACTGCATGAGCTTTTTTCAGATTTTTCTAGTTTGCTTGTACTAGTTTTCATTGGATTCTAATTGGTTTCTTGAATATTTTCTTTGGATTCAAATTGGTTATCTTGGTATTCAAGAAACCTAATCACAGTACAAATAGAGTTCTACAACCATAGAGTTGGATACTTTTCTATTTGTTTCGTTTTAAAGAAATTTTAAATTAAAGTTGGTTTGCAATCAATCTAACGGTTACGGTACAAATAGTATGATTGTTATGTTTTACTCTTTTTATAAGTCCCATACTTTGTTGTTATAAAATGTGTGCATATGAAGCAACGCATATAGACATATATATGATTTTTATGGGACTTTTATTGTTTTCAGTCAAGGCAAAACTTCAAAATCTCAGCTCAAAAGATGGAAATTACTTACAGCTATAGGCCATGTTTCGATCCCGTCTTCGAATCAGTCATTGAAAGACTACACCCTCCCAGGTGCTTAATGTAACCTTCAATTTAATCAATTTCTTACTATTCCTGGAACAGTCTTCCTAATTACCACTAATGGAACAATTGTATTTTCTCTCATTCTGTTTGGTTCATAGGCTTCTCATTTTTGGCCTTGCAGGGTCTCTATTGATAACATCACATGCGAAGACTGCACGCTTGTAAAGGTTAGTAAACCAAATGAGCCTAGAAGTGTGCCTTAGTCTCAGTTTGGTCTCTTCATTTCAGTTTTTTTTTTTCATTTTAGTCATTAAAGTTTCTAGTCTGTTTTTAAAGTCTTTTGCTAATTTTCATCGAAATAATTAATAAGTGATAATACACGTAACCCTTGCCCGTTAATTTGTTGGATGAAAGGTAATGAGTAGACTGTTTAAAAGCAAACTGAAAAACTTTAAATGGCCAAAACAAACACAAATCTGAATTGGAGGCAAAAATGACATTGACTGTATATTTCAACCAAAACCAAAACAAAATTCTTTCCTAGTGGAAGTGGATAATACCAACGGTTCATGAATTATTTTTCTANGTCAAGAGAAAATATAAGGAACAATGAAAATGAATCAAAAATAGAAATATATGAGTATTGAGAAAAAGAGACAGAATGGCACAATACCTTTGAAGATCTTTCCATTTGTGTATATCATTTTTTGTTAGCAAAAATTGTACTTATACCCCGTCCAACACTTGATATAATCTCCTATTGAAAGAAATCCAAATATATCTATAAAATATTACAGGGAAAAAATTGAATTATCTATGCATAAAAAATATAAAAACAATTAAGATTAATCTAAGTTTTATTTATTTTAATTTAATGGTACAAAATTAATTACAAAAATAAAATTTTAATTTACTATCAGACAACTCAACCAACACACTTCTCAATGTTAAACAATTTCATTACTTTTAATCCATGCTTTCCTTTCTCTCCTACAACTTTCTTATTTTTTTTCTCTTCACTTTAATTTTAAATTGGTTAATTTAAAAAAATTATTATTTTAAATATAAATATTACACAACCAATACTCAAAATTTTATAAAAATNTTTAATTTTAAATTGGTTAATTTAAAAAAATTATTATTTTAAATATAAATATTACACAACCAATACTCAAAATTTTATAAAAATGTAGTCTGATAGGGATGAAAAGAATGTAATAGAGGATAATGAATGAGTAAAAAGGCATTCCCCCGGTCAAAATTTTAAACAAGGCCTAAACTTTAGCTCAATGGTACTTAATGGCCCAAAGCTACGCCTAGAAAAAATATTAATTATACTAATTATAACAGTAGTACCTCGCCAATAATATGTAAACAAATAGAAAAATAGATCATATACAAGCTGATAATTACATGTTTATGTAAACTAATAACTATTAACTCTTATTTCATGTAAGTTAATAATTACTCAAGTGAAATTTATTTTATTCATTTAAAATTTCAGTAATGTTATGGTTACCAAATTTCTTACTTAGTTTTCAATTGAGGGTGACTAGTGACAATTTGGGGCCTAAAACAACAATTATAAAACCAGCATATTTTTTTTAAAAAAAATTATATTTTATTTAAAATTTATTTTTCTCATTTTTTGAAATATTCACTGTCCAAGCTTAAAATGGTAATGTTAATAGAGAATTATAGACTTTATAGATTTTGTGGTGAATAAAAATAACAAATAAATAAATAAAAGTTGACGATCAAAATAACATAAAAAATAAAAACCAAAATATATCAATTTTTCATTATTAGCTATAGAGAGAGAGAATGAGCAGTTGGAAAAAAAATGTTGAAAAATTCACTTTTACCATTACTTTTTATTTATTTATTTATTTTAAATTTTTTAATGATTTTTTTGACATCATGGAATAGAGAAATAGCCCAAACTATTTAATTTAGGGTTTAATTGCTTTACACTAAGACTAACCCCGTTTTCAATTCTAAGTGATATGGCATAATTTTTATTATTAAATATTAATAAAATCTATTTATTATATAATAAAAATTATGTCCCATTATTTAGAGTGATAGAATTTTTTTGTCAACATAGAATTATTATTAAAATTTTATTATTAATTGATAATATCATATTATCAATTCTTTTGTCCCATTACATTGAATATTTTCTCCTATGGGTCTAGTGTCACAGTCCTATCCTCGTCATCAGGAAAGGTAAGTCCCAAGTTTGACTGAGTAAAAGTCATAGACAAACGCCTGCGATTCAAAACGGAGAGCACGTGCTGTGCACTCCGAAATTAATTCTCAGCCACGTATTCACAGCGGCCGGTGGAAACAAGCGCAACCTGCCACGTCAAAATCAAGTACACGTGGCAGATTCCGTGCCAAAAGATTCACTGCTTAGGCCGACTCTGAAGCAAACTGTAACCGTGAGCGCACCGAACCCGCTATGCTTTGACCCTTCGGGAGGAGAGAGAAAGAAAAAGGAATAAATAGAGTGTAACAGTCACACAATATCATCATTATTACCTCATATCATTATTTAAAAATAATATAATAAATAAATAAATCTCATATATTATAATAACTCTTATCTAAAAAAATATATATTATAATAATTATCTTGTCATATCATTTATTAATCATTTAAATAAGGTTCATCATATTTATTTATAAATTTATTATTAAATAACAACATCACATCATGTGTTAATAATAAATTATTATTGTTACATCTAATATTTCCTTGAGATGAGAAGAAGGAACTTTTTTTTTATTTTATGGTAATTTTGTATTTATACCCATAATTCTGATTAAATTACAATTGCATAAAAAATGCAATTTAAATTGACTTTGGAAAAAAAANAAAGATTCACTGCTTAGGCCGACTCTGAAGCAAACTGTAACCGTGAGCGCACCGAACCCGCCATGCTTTGACCCCTCGGGAGGAGAGAGAAAGAAAAAGGATTAAATAGAGTGTAATAGTGTCACAATATCATCATTATTATCTCATATCATTATATAAAAATAATATAATAAATAAATAAATCTTATATATTGTAATAACTCTTATCTAAAAAAATATATATTATAATAATTATCTTGTCATATCATTTATTAATCATTTAAATAAAGTTTATCATATTTATTTATAAATTTATTATTAAATAACAACATCACATAATGTGTTAATAATAAATTATTATTGTTACATCTAATATTTCCTTGAGATGAAAAGAAGGGACCTTTTTTTTATTTTATGGTAATTTTGTATTTATACCCATAATTCTGATTAAATTACAATTGCATAAAAAATGCAATTTAAATTGACTTTGGAAAAAAAAAAGGATAAAATTTCAATAACAATAGAGTTTGGAGAACAGAAAATATCAACAAAAAAAAAAAGAAGTAAGTTTTGAAATTTTATAATTAAGTTAAGATGATAATTCATTGGAAAAGACCTGCGGGATTGGGGCTTTCAAGTTGAAACCAATGCCAACACTGGCTGGGTTCCAAGCGTATTTAGATGTAGTAGGAGACCTGCTTGTTATAAAAGTATTAAAAACACACACACACACACACAAACGCAAACACACGCATAGCAGCTGTCACATACGTTATATAATTCTCAGATTTTGTCCATATATATATATATATATATACACACTTCGCGGGCTTCTCCATTCTCTCTCTCTCCCCTAATAAATTGCGAATCATTAGAACTAAGTAGTGTCTCTGCGCGTTTGTCATCTTCCCCCTCCGTCCTCAGCTATATGATCTGGTCAATCAAGAAGAGCTCTCACGCAGGTAATTTACCTTCTTCTTATGTTGAAGAGAGAGAGCGAGAGAGAGAGATTCATCTTGTCCAACATAAAATTTTCATCTTCTTATGTTGAAACCATTCTTGTATTCTCGCATAACAAATCATGAGCAATCGATGAAAATTATGACATTCAGAATATTGAACAGATATGGATACCGAAAGGCCTCCAAAATTCAAGCAAGCCTGTTCATAAATTTCTGGTTTCTTTTCAACTTTCAGCTTTTAGTCAGAATTTCGTTCGATTTTCTTATACACAATTGAATAAATGATTTCTTTTGGTTTAATTCCTCTGCTTTCATACATATTATTATCCTAGATCATATGAGTAATTCCTCTGATTTCGTATATATTGTAATCCAAGATCATATGAGTAATTCGATTCCATTCGATTCGATTTGAACTAGTTTTCGGCAGATTCAAATGTCAGTCGAAACCTCTCTCTCTCTCTCTCCCTCATGTAGTTCCTCTTCTTGTGTTACAAGAGGAAATATGTTTATATATTTGTGCCTACACTGCATGAGCTTTTTTCAGAATTTTCTAGTTTGCTTGTACTAGTTTTCATTGGATTCTAATTGGTTTCTTGAATATTTTCTTTGGATTCAAATTGGTTATCTTGGTATTCAAGAAACCTAATCACAGTACAAATAGAGTTCTACAACCATAGAGTTGGATACTTTTCTATTTGTTTCGTTTTAAAGAAATTTTAAATTAAAGTTGGTTTGCAATCAATCTAACGGTTACGGTACAAATAGTATGATTGTTATGTTTTACTCTTTTTATAAGTCCTATACTTTGTTGTTATAAAATGTGTGCATATGAAGCAACGCATTTAGACATATATATGATTTTTATGGGACTTTTATTGTTTTCAGACAAGGCAAAACTTCAAAATCTCAGCTCAAAAGATGGAAATTACTTACAGCTATAGGCCATGTTTCGATCCCGTCTTCGAATCAGTCATTGAAAGACTACACCCTCCCAGGTGCTTAATGTAACCTTCAATTTAATCAATTTCTTACTATTCCTGGAACAGTCTTCCTAATTACCACTAATGGAACAATTGTATTTTCTCTCATTCTGTTTGGTTCATAGGCTTCTCATTTTTGACCTTGCAGGGTCTCTATTGATAACATCACATGCGAAGACTGCACGCTTGTAAAGGTTAGTAAACAAAATGAGCCTAGAAGTGTGCCTTAGTCTCAGTTTGGTCTCTTCATTTCAGTTTTTTTTTTTCATTTTAGTCATTAAAGTTTCTAGTCTGTTTTTAAAGTCTTTTGCTAATTTTCATCGAAATAATTAATAAGTGATAATACACATAACCCTTGCCCGTTAATTTGTTGGATGAAAGGTAATGAGTAGACTGTTTAAAAGCAAACTGAAAAACTTTAAAAGGCCAAAACAAACACAAATCTGAATTGGAGGCAAAAATGACATTGACTGTATATTTCAACCAAAACCAAAACTAAATTCTTTCCTAGTGGAAGTGGATAATACCAACGGTTCATGAATTATTTTTCTATTTTGTGTGTTTGGTACTAGAGAGTGGGTCCCTAGGCATTAGATTCCAGCACAGAATGTGACAACAACTGAGGAAGATACTATCTACAACACTGTCACAGAATAGTGATGACCGATGGCGCAATACTAGTTAGTTATATGCCCACATATATTAACATTCATATAAAAACTTCCTTAAACGAATCAATCTTAAGTTCCTTCATCAGTCATTACAAAATAGTTTAGAGAAAGTTTCCGGACACAAGGCCGAAAGCTTTCATTATGATTATTGCTGATGGCTGGCAGTTGTGCATGGTAATGTATAGCCAGACGACACCTTCAGTCTTTTCTTTTTTCCAGAAAAAACATAACTGAGAGTCATATCAGTCTCGTGCTTATTATGTAAATTTGAGATGCATGTAATTATTCACAAACTACACGTATCAACTTAATTAGGAAGTCTTTTATGATTAATAATCAAAGTTCTGCCACCCAAACTGCCTGAAGTGTAGTCTACTGTCTACTTTTTATTAACAAGTTCATGAAAGTACCTTTCTTAGCAAATTAAACTGAAAAAAAAAAAAGAAATAGAAGAAGAAGAAACTTCCTCTTGCCCTGGCAGCAAGAAGAAGTTGTGCACAATCCTTCTCATCAATTGGCAGAGTTGGGGGCAATTTAGTCAAAACAAACCTAGTAGTTCCAAGGTTCGGCCTTAATGCAACTCAAAGGCAGGAGAATAACTTGTGACTGTGAAAGAATACTTTACATGTGTATATATCATATTCAATGTATTAAAAATTTGTGCACTTCTGGCTAAAGGTTGATAGCGCAAACAAGCATGGCATATTGCTGGAGATGGTCCAAGTCCTGACGGATCTTGACCTCGTCATTTCCAAATCATACATTTCTTCTGATGGTGGTTGGTTCATGGATGGTTAGTGCTCTCTCTCTCTCTCTCTCTCTCCAACATTCTTGCTGTACCTAACAATAATACTGTAAATTCCAATTATATATTCATCCCACTTTGTTGTTACAATCAATAATACAGCATATAATAAACAATTAACCCACGACTATTGCTATGGCTATATTCATGTGAGTTGATTCTGATTTCATGGTGACCAGTGTTCCACGTGACGGACCAGCTCGGCAACAAAATTACTGAAGAAAGCCTCATAAATTACATCAAGCAGGTTGGAATGGCCCCTTTTTCTTTATATTCATACACACACGTGTGTGCTTATGTTTAATTATTTTGTCTATTGATAAAAGCAAGTGATGATTTTTTTAACAGGCAATGTGTGCAAATAGGAGGGCTTCAATGGAGGTCCAAGTCCAACCATGTATTGGAAGAGAGGTGCGACCACGGCACGTCTTACTAGAGCACACAGCCCTTGAGATGACAGGAAGGGACCACCCAGGTCTGATGTCCGAGATATCAGCAGTGCTGGCTGAGATGGGATGCCACGTGTCTGCTGCTGTGGCATGGACCCACAACGCCCGAGTGGCATGCATCATCTATGTGGAAGATGAATCAAGAGGTGGGCCCATCACCGACCCATGTCGGGTGGCCCATGTGCAGGCGCAGCTGGAGAATGTGGTGGAGGCACACCACTGCAACGGAGAGCGGAGAAGCGTGAGGTTAGCCAACCCGGCTGCTGGCCAGACCCACACAGAGAGGCGGCTGCACCAACTGATGGTGACGGATAAAGATTATGAGGGATGCCATTGCTGTAATGGCAACAATGGTGATCACAAAGTGCACAAGAACGGAAGGTGGCATGATAGGCAGAGGAGGGGGTGTGATACTACGCAAGTGACAATAGAGAACTGCGAAGAGAAGGGGTACTCCATAGTTACCGTGAGAAGTAAAGATCGGCCGAAATTACTTTTTGATACTGTGTGTACTCTGACGGACATGCAGTACGTGGTGTTTCATGCGGCCATTAGCTCTAAGGGCTCTGCAGCTGTTCAGGTAACAATGTCTTGCCTTTCCACCATCATTTCAGAGTCAATTGACGTTTGTTTAGTTTACACAGGAACTCTAATTTGATGCTGATCTCTCAATATATTTATACACTTCCCAGAGTATGGCACGCATGATTACATTTCCCAGTTCACAAGTGCCTGCAAATTTTTGCCGACTGTTCGATCATAGTCCATCATTTCCTGCTTCATCCATGCCTAGATCAAATATAAATCCTTAAAAATTCCAAAGAAAATCAAATAACACTTACAAACGACGTCAGAAAAATAATATCTAGCAGATTTCAAATCCATTTACACTTCATTGAGCCCGGTTGTGAGCAGCCTTGAGTGCATGATCACACTCCCAGCTGGAGTGCCCGTTGTTTTGCCCTTGCAAGTTTACTGCAGCACTATATTATTGCTTATTCTCTTCACGAAAGGTGTAATTTGAACCATTGCTATTACATTTTCTTGATTCTGGTTTTAATGTTTTGTTCTGTTCTGTGAAAATCCCAGGAATATTATATACGGCACAAAGATGGGTGCACCTTGAATTCGGAGAGTGAGAGGTGTAGAGTCACCGAGTGCCTGATTGCAGCCACAGAGAGAAGAGTTTCTCATGTATGCTCCACAATACACTTACCCTACAAACTATTGCTTATAACATCATGGTCTATATGGGTATTATATCCCACTGATTATGAAAATGGTATTAGACTCACAACCGTGCACTTGAGCAGGGTCTGAGGCTGGATGTCTGCACTCAAAACAGGTTAGGACTACTTTCAGACGTCACACGGGTTTTCCGAGAGAACGGGCTATCCATAACGAGGACTGAGATTGGAACAAGTGGTGAGAGAGCAGTCGGCACATTCTACGTCAAAGACGCTTCAGGGCACAATTTGAACCCACAAACAGTGGAGGCTGTGAGACGAGAAATTGGTGGCACTATACTGGTGGTTAACGAATCCTCTGTTTCATCACCTCCAAATTCATCAAGCACAAGTAGAAGCAATAGCGGTAAAGAAGAGAATAGGCCAAGATTTTCCCTAGGAAGCTTGTTGTGGTCGCAGCTTGAGTGGCTCTCGAGCAATTTCAGACCCGTAAAATCCTGAATTCATGGTGGTTAACAAATCCTCCCCAGCTGGTAACCTCAAATTTCTCAAAACATAAAGCAGAAGCAATAGAAGTGACGAAGAGAATAGAGCACACGATTTCACTAGAAAGCTTGTTCTGGTTGCGGCTTGAGCGACTATGCAATCAGATTAAGGCCCCTAAAAACCTGAGTTCCTAGGAGTGGACAGCTGCAGCACTTCGAATTGCACTCTGCACCCAGAAAGATTCATGAATTCTCATTTTACACCCTCAAAAATTAAAATTTTCACATTATACCTTAATATATTAAAATTTTTTAATTTAATTTTTTCGTTGGTTTTCATTTCTCATTTTGTCAGTGTTTTGGCGGAATGAAAAACGAATACTAACAAAAAGATTGTATTTACAATATTTTTAATATATTGAAGGTATAATATAAAATTTTTAATTTTTTATGGTGTAAAATAAAAAATATTAAATCTTTCAAAGTACAAAGTTAGATTCCACCATCCGTAAATAAATAGCATGTTTGTTGTCCTAGGTTTTTTCCCAATTGTAGATAGCTTCTTTTTTTTTTATCTCCAATTGTAGATAGTTGAATTTTTTTTTTTTTATGGTAATGCTCTAAAATAGTACGTTACTTGATGCCATTCTGACAAAAAGCAATAAACTCTAAGGAGTTGCTACCGTATCACAAAAAAAAAATTAATATCATACATCTATTTATCATTGTGATTATTTTTATTATATATGTGGGGCCTTTTATCATTAATATTTGATCCAAAAAATGGTAAAAATAATTATCACAACATTGATAAAAATATTCACAAGTGTAATAAAAATATTTTTAAATGTGATAAATATTTTTGTACTAAAGAAAAGTGTTAAAAATAGTTAGCACAACTGTTTATAACAATTAATTGCTATGATTTAAAAAAAATTAAAACTAAAATAATAAAACTTCACAAATGGTTATACATGAAGAAAGAAATTTCATTATATAACAAATAGATCAAAAAAAAAAAGATAAAGTAAAATTAGTTGGGTGAGTTTTATGATATTACATGTATCTATTAATTAGTGAATAGAAGAATGAATGAGATTTATCTTTATGATATATATATAATAGTAATAATTCGTGCCTAAAGATTTTAAGTAATTCAAAAAATTTCGAGCACCAATCAAGCAATATTAATATTTTTAAATAGTATTTTATTTTTATTATTTTCTTTAGTTACACAATTCAAAATTAATTTGAAAACACTATTTCTAAAAAATTTTGACAAAACTTCTCTAAAAACGTGACTTTTAAAAAATAACAGCATATACACAATTTATATATATATAATTATCATACCTAAAAAATATCTTTCTTTTTTTTAGATAGGAGTCGATATTAGCATGTATGTGTTGACGGGTATATAAAGAGAGAATTATATGAGAGATAAAAGTATGATATAGAGAGAGAGGGGTTAGAGTTTTAATGAGTATTAAATATATTTTGTTATTATTAGATATATATATATATATATATATATATATATATATATATATATATATATATATATGTCAAACTCTCCAACTCCCGTTACTTTATTATTATGTGTTTAGAATATAGAGAGAGAGTGCATGTGTGTGTGTGAGAGATAGATAAAAATATAGAGTTATATGAGAGATAAAAGTGTGTTTAAAATGTGTGAGAGATAGGATAGACGTATAAAAAGAATAAAAATTGATCATATGGATATAGATATAGATAGATAGATTTATATATAGGATGACATACATAAGTAGAGTTACATAAGGGCAAGGGTGGGTACGGGCCCACCCTCAAATTTAAAAAAAAAATGATATGATATGTATATTTATATTTATATATTCTAAAAATTATACACATATTTTACTTGTGCTCAGTCTATAATTTTCTTATATCAATTATTTAATTTTTTTTTATTATAATAAGGCATTTTTCAGATAACCTNACATATTTTACTTGTGCTCACTCTATAATTTTCTTATATCAATTATTTAATTTTTTTTTATTATAATAAGGCATTTTTCAGATAACCTTCATTTTATTATGAATTTTTGCAATTGAAGTTCTTTTAACTGATCTTCATCTGATTTTATTTTTTCTACGAAAACTGTCTTTTATTTTTTTTTCGAATATTGATTATAACATTTATTATGGGTCAATCGATTTTTTTTTTTTTAATATGTTTACCTCTTACTATACTAATATTTTAGTGATAATCTTTAGAACATCGTTTATTGAATAAATTTAATGGATTATTAGTGAATAACTAATATTTTTCAATTATAAAAATGATAATTAACTTCATTTTTTTACAATGATGATAATTAATCAATTTTTTATACATATACAATAGACTTTATGTATCAAATATGATATAATAAATATAAATATATTATATAGTGTGATTGGTTAGGAGGAAAAATATTAGAGTGAATAATTAATTAAGACTGTAGGTCCCACTATTTATTAAGACTCATTATATATTCAATGATTGTGATTGATCAAGTCTACATTTTAAGTTAAATAACATTTCCCTTCTACCATAATTGCCAACATATAGGGATTTCCAATTTTATCTATATAATAAAGCATAAAGAATTTTAAATTTTTCAAAGACATAAAAATTATTTTTATTTTTTACGATTTAGATCATTTTAAAATTAATGAAAAACAATCTTATGGTTAAAAATTAGTCACAAAATGGACAACAAGATTGGTTCTTTTGATTCTATTTCCTTTCCCCTCCTGATTTGTTTTTATTGATCACTTTTGTAGACTCGTTGCCTGCAACCTGTTGGTCACTAAGATCCACCCTTGACGTAGAGACATGGTAAGCATCATGATCTGAATGATGAGAAAGTTAGATGTAATCAAAGACAAGTTATTTTTAGGGACTAACGCCTCAAACTTGATGCTCTTATTGAAATGGTTACCAATTATAACTGATGTAAGTTACTTGTGGATGGTCAATTACTTAAATGTGACTAAAAATACATATCAATTCCCTCAAATCAAAAGTCAATTGACACATTATCAACCAACGATTCTTCCTACCATTAGCTCAGTTTGCCTCTCTATGAAAGGATTGACAAAACCCTTCGTTAACAAGGTAAGCAAACCGGTATTCCTTCTCGTGGCACGCAGAAGCACATGTGAGATAGCGCATTTTTTATGGTTACGAGATAACAAAATCTGACTTAACCTTTGAAGTATTTTCATGTCAATTCGTGTTTATGTCACTATTTTTATGCCGTATTATTATAATTCGTGTTGTGTTTGTATTAAATATTAATCTAATTCTTTTTGTTATGCGTATTTATCAATCGTGTTAATTTTAAAATTATATCGTGTTGAATTCGTATCGTGGCGNTGGTGTTGTATTTGTATTAAATATTAATCCAATTCTTTTTGTTATGCGTATTTATCAATCGTGTTAATTTTAAAATTATACCGTGTTGAATTCGTATCGTGGCGATGAGTTAGATTGATATTTGATACCCCTACTTTGAAGGGTAGGTCTTGTAAAATTCAACACAATTCAATTACTCAACACGAATTGTTACAAAATTAATGGATTTAGATTTAATCGTAATAGATTCAGATGATAAACATGTTCATCCCGCGTAATAAAAGATCCTTTTTTTGAAGGAAATATCTTAACTCATTTATCATTTGAGTTCCTGAATAATAAATTAGTGTCTCATCGAATTACATTTTGATGGATCAAAAACAAAATAAATTACACTTTTTATTACCAAATTACCCATTTGATAGATTATATAATATGTTGCATAACTGAGTAATGTTAGACTGTTAAAAAAGGGGATCAAAAATAGGAACCAAAAGATGTGATACTATCAAAATTGATGGTGCACAAAAATAGTTTTGCACACCACCTGTCAAGTATAGGTAATAAATACAGTGAAATCAATGAAAAAATTAAAGAAGACACGATTTATAGTGGTTCGGTCAATTCGACCTACGTCCACTCTTCAATGGCTTCAATTGCCGGGTATTTTATTAATTCAGAGGTATGGAGAATAGAAATACAAGTTTTGAGAGAATGGAGAATCAAAGAAGGAGTGGTCTCCAGTCGTCGATCTGTCCTCTGTAAGTGTTGGTGGGGCGTGACCTTCATCTCTTCTATGGCTTCTCACAGATTTGAGCTACTTTATAGCAGCTAAGAGATCATTCTGGTGGAGATCATGACTTATCCTGAAGGCTACTTTATCGCAGCTAAGAGATCATTCTGGTGGAGATCATGACCTATCCTCAACGGAAGGAGGAGGTTGGGGAGCTCTTCATGAAACGTGGTCAAAGCTTGGACTGTTTCCTTCGGTGGTGCAGATAAGCTTCTCATACTTTCCTCTTGATGACGTGCTAAGCAAAAAAATCTAACCGGTCTTGGACTGTCTTGGGTTTGGTAGATTCAAAATGAGGTTGGGCTCCT